CTTGTATTTTCATATAATAAATAGTAATTTGAGAATCACGGATGGCTTACATTTTGAGTTGTTAACCTCAAGGTCAGCAGTTCAAATTTATCAGCTGCTCTGAAAGAGAAAGATGAGATTTTCTGCCCCTGTAAAGATTTACAGCATTGGAAATCCTGTACAAGGTTGCTGTGAGTCGGAACCAACTCACTGGGACACAGCAGCAAATAATAATTTATATCTGGCATAGTGTCATGAAGAAATAAGAATCAGCTGGTACATAGTAGTATAAATGATTTGTGTGTACATCGCTTTAAGTAAATAATTTCTCCATCAATTTTGCTCATGCAGTTTACTTAGGACCCAAAACAACAACAATGAAAAACATTTTCAAGGTAAATTTTAATGTATTTTGGTGTGTTGTTGTGAAGTGCATTCGAGTTGGTTCCAGCTCATACTAGTCCTGTAGAGAGTTTCCGAGGAGTGGCTGAGTTTGAACCACTGACCTGTGGTTCAGACTGACTTGTGGTCCAGTGCTTATCCTAAATTCAGAATTAGTGAGATGTGAGTAAATACATTGCTTTGTTATCAGGGCTCCCAGTCCTTCTTGATAGTCTATTTATTTGTGGGAAGATGGCCTTCTGTGCTGGTTTTTCTTTATAATTGTACTGATAGAACCACTCACGGTATCTTTTGAACTCATTTGTAATAAAATCCAAGGAATTCATCAACTTGAGTTGTTGTTTCAGTCCCGTGTTTTAATCTCGTCTCTCCCATACATTTGTAGTCTGTCTTCTCTGATCAGTATTTCTAAGACAGGCCTGTTCAGAGTGTGGCCTACTCATGGTTTGCTCTTAGGTGCCGTTGAGTTAGATCTGGTAGCGTAGTGGTTACAAATCGGGCTGCTAACCTCAGGGTCAGCAGTTCGAAACTACCAGCTGTTCCATGGGAGAAAGAGGAGGCTTTCTACTCCCATAAAGATTTACAGCCTCGGAAACCCTGTACAGGGTCGCTATGGGTCGGAACCGAATCCACGACACACAATATGCACAGCAGAAAGGAGCTCTAGTAGTTGTCGTTACGAGTCAGGCTGGTAGGTTTGAAACTACCAGCTGTTCACACAAGATAGATGAGGTTTTCTGCCCCCGTAAAGATTTACAGCCTCAGAAACCCTATTCAGGGTCACGGTGAGTCAGAACCGATTCCTCAGTACACTACCACCACCATGAGCAACAGAACGGAACACTGCCTAGTCCTGTGCCAGCCTCACAATTGCTGTTATGTTTGAGCCCATTGTAGCGGCCACTTTGTCAGTTCATCGTGTTAAAGGGGAGGAGGTGCTCTTCCTCTATTTTGCTCACCCTCCACTTGACTCTGCACGGTGTCCCTCCAGATGACATGTTTGAAGTATGAGAGATGAAGTCTTCCCATGCTGGCTTCTAAGGAACATTCTGGCTGTTTAATTCAAGTCAGATTTGTTTGTTCTTCTAGTGGTCCATGGTACTTTGAATATTCTTCACCAACACCGTAATTCCAACGCATCAATTCTTCTTTGATCTTCTTTATTCACTGTCGAATTTACACATGCACATACGGCTACTGAAAATACCATGGCTTGGGTCAGGTCCACCTTAGTCCTCAAACTGATATCTTTGCCCTTTCGAGAGATCTTCTGCAGCAGATTGGCCTAATGCCATATGTCATTTGATTTATTCACTGTTACTTCCATGAGTATTGATTGTGGATCCTAACAAAATGAAGCTTTTGATGACTTCAGTCTTTTCTCCATTTATCATGATGTGATTTATTGGTTCAGTTGGGGAGGATTTTATTTTTCTTTACTTTGAGGTGAAGTCCATACTGAAGGTTGAAGTTTCTGGTCAACGTCAGTAAATATTTTAAGTCCTCCTTGCCTCAAGCAAGCAAGGTTATACAGTCTTTATATTACAGGTTTTTATTAATGAGTCTTCTTCCAAAGATGCCATGTTCTTCATATAATCCAGCTTCTCAGATTATTTGCTCACCATACAGATTGAATAGGTATGAATAAAGAAAACAACCCTAGTGCATGCCTTTCCTGATTTTAATCCATTCGGTGGCTACTTCTTGTGTTTCTTGGTCTATGTACAATTTCCTCATGAGTACAAACAGTTAAGTCTCCTGGAATATCCATTCATTGCGATGTTATCCATAGTTTGTTATGATTCACACAGTTGAATGCCTGGGCACGCACAGTCAATAAAACACAAGTAAACATCTGTCTTCTCGTCTCTGCTTTCAGCTCAGGTCCATCTGATGGTAGCAATGATATCAGTAGTTCCATAGCCTCTTCTGAATCCAGCTTGAATTTCTGATAGTTCCCTGTCTATGTACTATTGCAAACATTTAAAAATTATCCTCGGTAAAATTTTACTTGCATGTGATATTAATGTAGTTTTCAATGATTTCCACATTCCATTGGGTCACCTCTCTTTGGAATGGACACAAATATGGATCTCTTCCAATTGATTGCTCAGGTAGCTAGCTATCTTTCAAATTTCTTGGCTTAGATACGTGAGTCCCTCCAGTATTGCATTAGTTTGTTTCAAGATTTCTGTTTGTATTCCATCCACTCCTGAAGCCTGAGTTTTGCCAGTGCCTTTAATGCCCTTGGACTTTTTCCTTCCGTGCCATCGATCCTTGATCATATGATACCTCTTGAAATAGTTGAACAGCAGCCATTTCTTTTTGGTACAGCGACTCTGTGGATTTGTTTCAGCTGCTTTTAATGTGTTTTGTATCATTCAGTGTTTTGCCCATGGAATCCTTCAATACTGTAAATCAAGTCTTGAAATTTTTTCTTCAGTTCTTTCTGCTTGAGAAATACTGAGCGTGTTCTTCACTTTGGTTTTCTAACTTCAAGTCTTTGTGTATTTCGTAATACTTTATTTTCTCGAGCTGCCCTTTGAAATTTTCTGTTCTGCTCTTTTACTTCATCATTTATTCTATTTGCTGTACCTTTTCTAGTTTCAAAAGCAAGATGTGGGAAAGCTTGGGCAATACTCAGCTCCATTTATGAGTAACATTCTACCTGACAAGCCATCTGTTGTTCCTAGTAAAGATGGTGGTGGTGGTGGTAAAGGTGTATATGAAATTACATATGGCTGCCGATTCCTTGATTTCTGTGTCGATGCTTGATTTATTAACAGGATGATTTACAGTAGAAATTATTGTAATAGAAAGTCGTTCATCACTAAAAGGGATATGCTTGTTTCTGCAAAGAACAAAACAAATTTCAGAAATGGGGATATGGTTTTTAAACTTTGTAGACGTCTTAGTTTTACTGTTGAAAAATTGGTTTCTAATAGGATTAAAGTATTCTTCAATTAGTAGATTTTCTATTTCTCAGATGTTCAGTAATTCTAAAACCAAAACCAAGAGAAAGTTAAACTGTAATCATTAATTATCATGACAGGTGAGTTTTTCTAATATGTACGATCTTTGTATATCGTAGTATCTTTCATGCATTAATGTTAATGTGATCCTGAAAAGTTACATAGTGAATGTATATTGCTTAGTCTTATCATTTGGAGCTGTCATATTCTCATTTGCAGTGGGCCGGCAGCTGACTTCAAAAACATTCGCTTCCAAGATGTTGTAACCTCTAAACAAACTATTAAGCACCCTAAACCCCAAAAACCGAGCTTGCTGCCTTTGAGTCAAATCCAACTTATAGCACCCGTGTAGTACAGGGAATAAGTATTTGATAGGGTTCCAAGGCTACAAAGCTTTATGCAAGTAGACTGCGCCATCTGTCTCCTGTGGAGTGGCTAGTGGATTTGAACCACCAACCTTTTGTTTGACAGCCAAGTGCCTAAACCACTAACCTAAAGTACCGATGGATGTCTGTAAGTTAAAACAACAAAAAAAATCAATTGCAGTCTTTTGTAACTAGCATTGCTGTTGTAGTTGTTGAGTGCCTACTGGTTCTGACTCATAGCGACCTCTATAGGGTTTCCAAGGAGTGGCTGGTTTAAGTATCCTTGAGTTGATGAAGTTTTAACTTTTGGCTGTATTTTAAGATGGGCCATTCACATCTGGGATTCATTAATTGGGTTAATGTGTTAATGTAAATTTTAGGAGTCCTGGTGTGATGTTGTAGGATAAGTGCTAGACCACAAGGTCAGTTTGAACTGTAAAGTCGGCAGTTCAAACTCACCAGCCGCTCCTCGGGAACCCTGTACAGGGTCGCTGTAAGTCGGAACCGACTCGATGGCACTTAATAACAACAACAGTGTACATATTTGTGTCAGATGATTATAAAGCTAGAGGTAAAAATAAAAAACAAAAAACTACTGGGTGTTTGAAATTGGCTATAGCGTAGTGGTTACGAATCGGGCTGCAAACCTTAAGGTCAGCAGTTCGAAACTACCAGTCGCTCCGCCGGAGAAAGATGAGGCTTTCTACTCCTGTAAAAATTTACACCCTTGGAAACCCTGTAGAGGGTCGCTATGGGTCGGAACTGATTCGACGGCACTTAACAACACCAATAACAACAATGCCTCTTTTAGGATCAAGGAGCTCTGGTAGCGTAGTGTTTATGAATAGGGCAGCGAACCACAAGTCAGCAATTCGAAACTACCAGCTGTTCCACAGGGGAAAGATGAGGCTTTCTGCTGCCGTAAAGGTTTACAGCCTCGGAAACCCTGTACAGGGTCGCTATGAGTCAGAATGGACTCCGCGGCACATAACAACAACAACAACTTTTAGGATCCTAAAGATAAGAGAGCAAGATGGAGCCTGTGCAGCTGCTTTGGGTTTAAGTGGAAGGTCTTAGCTCTAGTTTTCTTTACTCTGAGGAGCTCTTCTCTGTGTCGAGTTGAATGACCGGATGGTTGCTTGAGCAGAGGAAGAGTAAATTTCAGCTTCTTGGTTGTACAAGGACGTCAGAGGGCTCAGGGGAGTGTGAGTTTTGTGCTGAAGTAAATCACTGCCCTTCTTCTTCCTGGGAGTGACTGGGTTGGTGTGACTCTTTGTCTCAGGAGCTGCGGTCACGTGAAGAGGAGCTGACACGAGCCGCCCTTCAGCAGAAGTCTCAGGAAGAATTGCTAAAGCGGCGTGAACAGCAGCTTGCGGAGCGCGAGATTGATGTCCTGGAGCGGGAACTGAATATCATGATCTTCCAGTTAAACCAGGAGAAACCTAATGTGAAAAAGCGGAAGGGGAAGTTTAAGAGAAGTCGTTTAAAGCTCAAAGATGGACATCGAATCAGTTTACCTTCAGGTATGATTGTCTTCTGACATAGCCTGAAGGTTCTCATGTACAAGGGCCTTCAACAAGTTCATGGGAAAATTCCATTATCTTTGAATTCCATTTGTTCACAGACTTTTTGAATCCCCCCATAGATGTGTTCATGTATGCTTCGTTTCATCAGAACTGAAGAGATGGGAAGTAGCATTTAAACATATTAAATAATTAGGTACTTTCCGTTGTTTACGTCAATTCATATTTATAATGAACTGGTTAACCAGTTGCTGTCAGATACACATTGACTCTTGGAAACTCGTGTATCATATAGAACTATGCTTCATTGGATTTTCTATGGCTGATTTTTCAGAAACGGAACACCAGGCATTTCTTCTGAGGAAACTTTGGGTAGACTCAGGCTTCCAGATTTTGGTGAGCAGCGAGCACGTTCCCTGTTTTCCTCCACCCAGGAACTCTGTGTTCACAATAAAATGAACCAGTGATTTTCCATTTCTGAACCAGCATAAGGACTGAATTGCAGTACCTTAAATACGAGTTTTTAACTCTCAGCAACCTTTTATATTAATTGATTAATTCCTTTTGAAGTCAAAGTAGAACTTCTTTTTGGCTGACTGCTCTAAGCCACTGTAAAAGTTCAGACAACAAAATTACTGCTATTTAATTGTTTATTGCTTCCAAATAGTCTGAAATGCCTGATGTTGTTCGTACTTTCAACTAAGTATATATAGCAAGTAATTCAACTATATTGCTGTTTTCATCTGAGAGTTTAGCGTCCTTGAATTACAAAAATGAACTAGTAAATCTCGGAAATCTATTAAAATATTTTTAAAACTTTGCAGCGAAAACAAAAAGAACTACGTGTTTTGGGAAACATGGAAAAGAATGGAAAATAGCAAATATACTCATATATTAACTCAATTAAGATCTTTAGTATTATGTTATACTTGGTTTAGTGAGCAAATACTCTCACTGCATTTTATAATTCTTTTTAATATCAGGGAAAAATGGTTACAGAACAGAGCAAGGTGATATATAGAGCGAGGTAAATATTTAATACACATCTGTAAGGCTCCGGAAAAGCTTTAGTCTTGGAACGTCTCTACGGGATCTCTGTGCATTGGAACCAACTCAGTGGTACTTACAACATAAAGAGTCTAGTTTATAGAATCAGACGTTTTTCTAAGACATGTGTAAATGGCACCGAAGTTTGTTCTAAACAATAGTAACAGCAGTTTCTGTTTTATATAAAATGTGGATCAGGAACCCCGGTGGCATACTTGTTAAGTACTTGGCTCATAATCGTGATTAGAGCCCGCCAACCATCAGGGAGAAAGATGGGCCCATCTGCCTTTGTGAAGATTTCAACCTTGGGGACCCTGCGGGAGTGGTCTGTCCTCCAGGGCCTGTATGGTCTAAATCAACTAGATGGCAACAGGTTTGGTGTTGGGGTTTTTTGGTATATAAAATTTCTTTGTAAAATAATTTCAATGAAATACTGGAAACCTTGAAGCATACTGTAACTTTTTAGCTAATTGCAGATGTCTTCAATTGATCAAAAATTGCTAGTTAGTGGTAGTCATCAGTATCTGTTGTTAACTACCATCAACTCAGTTCTGACTAATAGCCACCCCGTATAGGATTTCAAGGAGCTGCTGTTGGGTTTGAACCACCAACCTTGCAATTCAAACCAACCTTTTGGACCAGTGCATTATCCTACCGCACCACACCGGGACTCCAAGTATCCAGTATTCATCATTAAATATTTGGTTTGCTAAGGTGAGAATAGGCTGTGGACCCTTACTGATTTTATCTTAAGCCTCTCTGGGAGGAAAAAACAAAGAAGACAGCTCTCTTCTGGTAGCTGCTTTTAGTTGTACTAAAACTTGGAGGACTGTGGACTGAAATGTCTTAGGTGCCAATTAGCCATCATTCAAAGCTAAAATATTTTGTTTATGATGAGGAACATGCTTTCAAATAAATTATGTTGTTGTTGTTAGGTGCCATTGAATTGATACTGACTCATCGTAACCAACCCTTCAGTTACTTTTCTTTGTCTTCTTGAATTGGCCTTTGAGATTTTCTGTACCACTCTTTCACTTCATTATCTCTTCCTTTCACTTTAGGTACGCTACCTTCAAGAGCAAGTTTCCGAGTCTCTTCTGACAACCGTTTTGATCTTTTCTTTCTTCCTGTCTTTTTAATGACCTTTTGCTTTCTTCATGTGTGATGTTCTTGAGGTTATTTTACCACTTGTGTGGTCACCTATGACTAGAGTTCAATGCATCAAATCTGTTCTTGAGATGATCTCTAAATTCAGGTGGGATGTACTCAAGGTTGTAGTTTGGCTCTCATGGACTTGTTTTAAACCTGTTAGCTTCAGCCTGAAATGGCATATGATCAATTAATGGGCTGTTCCCCAGTCAACCCCTGGCCTTGTTTTGGGTGATGATACTAAGCTTCTCCATCATCTCTTCCCACAAATGTAGTCAGTTTGATTCCTGTGTATTCTATCTGGCGAGGTCCATATTTACAGTCACCATTTATGTTGTTGAAAAAGGTATTTGCAGTGAGGAAGGAAGTTGTTGGATTTTTTCAGTCGCCGAGGCTCTACTTTCCAACTACCTAACCTTCTTGTTTGTTTCTGATGTTTGCATTCCAATTCCCAGTAGTTATCGGTGCATCTTGATGGCACGTTTGATTAACTTCAGACTGAAGAAGTTGAACAACTTCTTCGATTTCTTTATTATTGGCTTTGGTGGTTGGTGTGTAAATTTGATTAAATAGTTTGTTAATTGCTTTTCCTCATAGTAGTATAGATATTATCTATCACTGACAGCCCTGTACTTCAAGACAGATCTTGAAATACTCTTTTTGACAATGAATGCAACACCATTCCTCATGAATTTGCCATTTCTGGTATAATAAATCATATGATTGTCTGACTGAAAATGGCTACTATCAGTCTATTTCAGCTCACTGAAGCCTAGTATTTCTATCTTTATGCATCACATTTCATTTTTGACAACTTCCAGTTTTCCTAGCTTCATATTTCATATCTTCCATGTTCTGATTAGTAATGGATGTTTGTATCTGTGCCTTCTCATTTTGAGTTGTGCCCCATCAACAAATGAAGGTCCTGAAAGCGTCTTTCTATCCCTGCCGTTAAAGTGGACTCTACTTTGAGGGGGCAGCTCTTAGCCAGTCAGACTTTGATTGCCTTTGACTTGACAGCTCATCTTTTGGCAATATATCAGACAATGTTTTGTTACTAGTCACATGGTTTTCATAAGTGGCCCTGTCGACTCCTTCTTCCTAGTCTGTTTTAATCTGGAAGCTTGGATATAGCCTGTCCCCTCTGGGTGACCCTTCTAGTATTTGAAATACCTGTGACATAGCTTCCAACATCACAGCAACCCCTAAGCCACCACAGTCCAGCATACTGGCAGAAGAAAGGTGATTTTCCTCATCACAATTCTCTAAATCTAGTCTTCCTTCCCTGCCCCATACACACACACACACACACACATTTAGGGTACATATCCAAAAAAGGAAAAGAATTATATCTATAAAAAGAAAATTTTTTTTCTCATTCACCAATTTTGATAGAAGACAAAATTATTTGAACCTGAAGTTCATGAAAATTAGTTGTCTCTGATATTATCTTTTTCTGGAAAAATATTTGAATTTTCAAATTTTAGTACTATTTGTTGTTGTTGTTAAGTGCCGTCGAGTCAGTTCTGACCCATAGTGATCCTATATAGGGTTTCTGAGGAGCAGCTGGTGAGCTTGAACCACCGACCTTGCAGTTCAGACGGCTTTGCAGTCTGCCGCATTAGCCCGTAGTGCCACACCTGGACTTCTTAGTACTATTTAATAGTACACTATTAAGAAAGAAAACATATGATCTTCCTTGATTGAATGGTGAGGCTTTGCTTTTAGGGAGTTGCTTACCAAATTACTTGAATTCCTCTTGTAGGATTTTTCTACATATGTAACTAGCTTACAGAATTTCTCAGACGCTTATTTGAGACATTACAAACTAGCCTTTAGTATTTGTCCCTAAAGATTTTTTTCTGGCGTCTTGGTGTGGCGCTGCAGAAGAACGCACTGGACCACAAGGTCTGTTTGGCTAGCAAGACCAGAGGCTCCCACCCAGCAGACGCTCCTTCGAAACCCTACACAGGGTTGCTATGAGTCAGAACCAATTGGATGGGACTTAACAACAGCAATTGAGTTGTTGCAGAATCTTTGTATTAAATGTGAATAATTGGATTTGCTTCCGATTTTGTCTTTGAGAGTCATTGATACTCATTTCTAATCTTTTGGTTATTTCTAGCTCCAATGACTTACTGATGTAAAACTAAAACTTACTTATTCCTCTTAGAGTTCTTTCATTGCTGGTTACAAAAGAAAGACAATTATTGTTTTAAAAATGAGACAGCATAAATAATATAGGACAATATTAAAATATGTTTTGTGAGAGTTTATTGTTTTTCTTTGAATTTGTTGAAAGAAAAAGTATGGTCTTTGTGGAGAGATGTATTCTGAGATTGCTTTATTTCAGCCTTCTCTGTTATGTCTGTTCAAGCCAAGGTGTGCGTTTAGAATCTGTAGGAAAAAGGCAGAGAGGTTTTAATGTCTTCCAGAGTTTCTGTGTCCCAAGAATCTTTAGTTTTTCCTAAATGCAAAACAGGGACAGAATCAATGTTTTCCTGCTTTATAGACACAAAAGATAATTCTAAAGAAGACCTTGTTCTGTGTTTGTTTGTTTTGAAGTGAAAGAACTTAGAATTTTCCAGAAGATCAGAAGTCCACTGAACCTGAATCTAGGCATTAATAAAATCTAATGGCATGCCTTTGATACTTGTTCTATGCTTTGTAAATGCGCGATGCTGGGCATTTAGTGTCTCTTCTCTCATCGGTTGTATAGATGACTTATAATTCAAATACTGCGGCCTGGCCCTTATGGTCTCCTTCTGGGGCAATCCAAGAGCACTCTAGCCTTCTACTGTAGA